ATGTATAGAGACTTGAAACAATACTTTTGGTGGAACGGAATGAAACGAGATATAGCCAATTATGTAGCAAGTTGTTTAACATGTCAAAAAGTTAAAATTGAACATCAACGGGTCAGTGGTTTACTACAGCCTTTAGAGATCCCTGTCTAGTAGTGGGAACACATCTCCATGGATTTCGTAGTCGGGCTACCAAAAATGCTAAGGCGACACAATGCGATTTGGGTTATAGTGGATCGACTGACAAAATCTGCTCACTTTCTCCCGATCCAGGAAACATATTCAGTTAGTAAACTTACTGAAATTTTCCAACGAGAAATCGTGAGATTACATGGTACGCCGGTTTCTATTACCTCTGATAGGGACCCGCTATTCACTTCACGATTCTAGACCGGATTGAATAAAGCTTGGTGTTCGAGATTGACTATGAGTTCTGCATTTCATCCTCAAACCGATGGGCAGACCGAGCAAACAATTCAGACGCTCGAAGATATGTTACGGGCGTGTGTCTTGGAGTGGTCCGGTAGTTGGGATGAATTTCTTTATCTTGTGGAATTCTCATATAACAATAGTTGGCAATCCAGTATTGGGATGGCTCAGTACGAGGCCTCATATGGACGGAAATGTCGTGCACCAACCTGTTGGAATGAAGTCGGAAAAAAAGTCATCGAAGGACCCGACTTGGTTCGTATTACTACCGAAAAAGTCAATATTGCCCGCCAGAAAATGAAAAAAGCTCAATCATACCCGAAAAGTTATGCAGACAAACATTGCAAGCCGCTCGAATTTCGTCCAGGTGATCATGTCTTTTTTAAAGTCTCGTCGTTAAAAGGTATCAGGAGATTTGGAATCAAAGGCAAGCTTAGCCCTCGATACATCGGTCCATTCGAAGTTTTGGAGCGTGTTGGAAAAGTTGCATATCGTCTAGCCCTACCGCCTCAATTATCGCATATATACAATGTTTTCCATGTCTCGGTGCTCCACGGGTACAATTACCACCCTCTTCACGTCGTAGATTATCCGTGTGATAAAATTGAAAGTGGTCTCTCCTATACTGAAGCAGAAGCAATTATCGATCGAGAGGAGAGAGTGATGCGACGAAAAGTAATTCCGTTTGTCAAAATATTATGGCGAAATCATTTGGAACGAGAAACTACATGGGAAACTGAAGATTCAATACGTAAAGGATATCCTCATCTATTTCTGGTATCTAGTTTCTAGACCTTAACTCGATTTCGGGGACAAAATCTTCTTTTTAGAGGGGGGAATATAACAGCCTAGATTTTGTTATTGATTAATCTTGGTATATTTATTTACATGACAGTTGGATGCTTTATCTACTTGTACCCTTGTTTTAAGTAGTTGTATTTTGGACTAATAATGTAAGTCCAAGTTTTATGTAAAGGGTCAATTTTGTAGAAAATAAATTGGTCTTAGGACTAGAAATGTTAAGAAAAATCCATGTAAAGACTAATATTTAATTAGGCAATTGATGAGGGGTAATATTTGATAAGTGAGAATTCTTGTACTAATTATTTAAACCTTAATTTCAGAAAAATAACTCATTTTTCCCCCCTGCATTTCTCTCACTAGACTTAAGGTCCCTCTCTTCACATAAACCCTAGATTTAGTTTAACCTTCTCATGCATCTTCTAAATTGGTGATATTTTGAAGATTTAAAGCTACTTGATTGAAAAGAATGTAAAGAAGCAAGGTATGAATCTATAAATTTCAAGATTTGTGGTCTAATTTGTTGATTTGTGATAAAGATTGGAAAGGTTCATGTTAGGGTTCATAAGGTTTTGATTAGTAAGCTAAACCTTTGTTAAATGATGTTATTTTTATGTCATTGTTGGTTAAAGAAGTTATAAATTAAGTTTTAAT